TTCAAATCCAGTGCTGCCCCCCACAAAGGCCCTCTCGCCACTTCATCATATGCCACTAGCTGAGAGCAGGGGGCAGCGGGGACGCGCGGGTGAGGTGGGAGCCCAGGGCACAGGCTGGGCCCAGCTGGCCGGGATCGAGCACCTTCCTGGTCATCGCTGAGTGCAGGTGGGCACTGAGGGCTCATCTTCATGCATCAGACACCCCTGGGTGTCTGCCATGCGCAGGGCATTGTGCTGAGCTGGAAGGGAAACATGCAAAACCAGGGCCCTGCCTTCTAGAAGCTGCACGGTGTCTGAGGGTGCATCAGCATGAATATAATCATTTCGAGGTGGTCCTGTTACCTTTCTCTCCTGCCTTCCTCCTCACGAGCAAACCGTCCTGACCTCCTTGTTGCTCCTGTGCACCAAGCATATTCCCAGCTGGGGGTCTCTGCTCTGGCGGTTCCCTTTCCCTGGAGCACTGCCCCCCAATATCTGCAGGGCTTGCCACCCCCTTCATGTCTTTGCCCACGTCAGGGTGAGGCCTTTGCTGAGCACAGCCATTAAAATGGCACTGGACCCACTCCTGTCCCTTTCTGGCACTCACCGCCACCAGACTGGCTGGCTGTCCTCTTCATTGCTTACTGTCGGCCGCCCTCACTAGGACAGGAGCTCTGCGGGCAGGGTTTGGTCTGCTTTGACCACCGCCGCATGCCCAGAGCCTAGCCCAGGGCCTGGCACATAGCAGGCGTCCCAAAGTTGCGTGTGGAAGGAAGGAAAGGAGGGAGGGCCACAGGGGACACAGAGAGGCCTGTGTGGGGGAGGGGACATCTAGGCTGACCTCGAAGGTCAAGCAGGATCTCTCTCTATGGAGATGGGACAGGAGCAGGAGGAAGGCTGATCCCGGCTGCTGGGCAGAAAGGCCGGGGGAAGGAGGCCGCAGCCGGGAGGCAGCCTCCTCGGTCTGGGGTCTGGCCGTGGGGCATGGGGCGGTGAGGCCTGACAAGGGGGAAGGATAAGAAGGGGCCAACCACAGCCTTTCTTCTTGGGCCCCTGACCCTTGACTGCCAGCAGCAGACAACGCCATGGGCAGGGCAGCAGGGATGTCCACTGCCCCGTGTTCCGGTCTTCCAGGGTCTGGCGAGAAGGCGTTTGAGGTACACGCGTGGCCGGAGACGCTGGTGGTTGAGCCCGAGGAGTACCGGGAAGTCAACTGCAGCACCAACTGTGACCAGCCTGAAAACGGTGGTCTGGAGACCCCCCTAAATAAGACTCTACTGTCCCAAGGACCTCGGTGGAAGTACTACTTGGTCTCAAACATCTCCCGGGACGTGGTCCTGTACTGCTACTTCAGGTGCTCCGGGGAGCAGCAGCATAGAGTTCTCAACATCACCGTGTACAGTGAGTGGCTGTGCCGAGGGGCCCTGCTGTTCCCCAGGGCAGAACCTGCATCTACTGGGCGTACCCAAAGCCACTCTGTGACTGCTCCTGGGTGCTCATCACGGCCCTGCCTCCCTGAGCTCCTGGGATGACAAAACCAGGCCAGGGAGTGCAGAACCTGCTCGCACTCTTGGCAGGATGCCTTGAGCTCGCTGGTCTCTCAGAAGCAGGTAGCCCAGAGTTTGAGTCTTGCTCAGGGGAGGACAATCTAACCAAGGCTCACTCATGTCCGAAGCCATTTCCCAGCACAGCCTTCATGGCCTCCTCCTAGCTTGGTCACTGGAGCACCCCAGTGCTCCCATACCAAAAGTGGGGGAACCCCAAGAGAGCTGGGCCCCTTCACCTCAGGAAGAGAAGGCTGAGGTATCTCCTGGTATTTATATCTTCCCCTGAGGGACCCATGGCACATGTGTGACCGTCACACACACACCTGCTCATGAGCCATGAAAACCTTCCATCGGGGACAGGGTTCTCGCAACATCTTGGTTCCAAGGGTGTCACTTGGATCCTCTTCATGGCCAGCATCAGGGGACCAGATGATGGAAAGACATCCTAAATTCAACATATTCTACTGGGTGAGGGTTGGGGCTGAGTGAAGGCAACGAGGTATTCTAGTTCAAGAGGGATCCCGCGGTACCCCCGCAGGCCCTTTCTAATAGGTGAGGAATCATAGTGGCCATGAACCTGACCCTGGAGAACCAAGGCAGGCCTGGCTCCGGGCCCCACCTCTTAGGAACGGAGACTCACAGTTTAGTCCCTCCAGTGCCCCGTTCCAATGAGCACTCTCTTCCAAGCCTCTTTCAACATAATTATCCAATTGTTTAATTTTTGAAATTTGTATTTAATTTCTGGAGGGGAGGGAGACAGACCCAAACTTTTATATCTTTCCAGGTGGCTGTACAATTTCTGGACCTTCTCTTTGTAAACACCTGACCAGTCCCGTCCATTCTTGAAACCACGACGTCTGTGAAACTACCACGCAGCCCACCCTTCATCCCGAACCGCTCCCTTCCTCCTCCCCTTCCACGCAAGCAGCCCCGGCCCCAGGCCACTGCCTCTCCCACAAGTCCAGCCAGGGACCTGGAACACCGCAGTGATAGATGGCCCGCGCCAGGTGGGGCCTACTGGGATGGCACCCCCATCCTGACCAGACCTCTCTCCTTTGTCCCCTGCAGAGCCTCCGAAGCAGGTCACGCTGAAGCTGCAGCCCCCTGGGGTGGTCGTGGGCAAGTCCTTCACCATCGAGTGCAGGGTTCCTGCCGTGGAACCCCTTGAGAGCCTCACCCTCTTCCTGCTCCGTGGCAAAGAGACCTTGCACACCCAGACCTTTGGGGGGGAAAATCCTGCTCCCCAAGAGGCCACGGCCACATTCAACAGCACAGCTCACAGGGAGGACAAACACTCCAACTTCTCCTGCCTGGCTGTGCTGGACCTGGAGTCTCGAGGTGGCAGCATCTTTAAGAAAGTCTCGGATCCCCAGATGCTCGAGGTCTACGGTGAGGAGGCCCCCAGTGACACGGGGGAGAGAGAGGGCACTTACTTTCAGCCCCTTGGGGGAGGAACACTCCTGAGCCCCACTCTCGCTGGCTTGGGATGCGAACGCCCAGCACCCACACTTCCTCCAGGCCTCCCTCTTACCCTCCCTGCCCTGAAGCTCTGGCCAAGTCCCCAGCTTGGACCTCGGCTGTTCCTGAGGTCAGGAGAGCTCAACTAGTTGCTTGGCCCTAGCAAGCTTCATGACCTTGACAGAGTCAACCTGCTCTCTCTGGCCTTAGCTCTTCCCTAAAATGAGAAGGCTGTCCTGACTGACCCCGAAGGTCCCCAGAGCTCTGCCGTTTGGTGACTCTGGGTGGTCAAGGCGTCCCCTGCCTTCAGGGAGCTTGGCATGAAGCTCACTCAGCTCTGCCTGAGGAGGGGCTCAGCCTGGATCGTGCCACCCTCCAGACCATGGTGTCTAGCAACCGCGTGCTGGTTCTAGGGGCTGCTGGCAGGGGGACATCTGCTCTCACAGTTTCACAGAGGCCTGGACCCCAGGCCACCTTTCTCCCAGATAACACTGTTGGGGCAGACTCCATTTGCTACTCATCTCTGCAACCCAGGGTGACTGCAGGATGGATGAGTGGGCAGGGATGGGTGGGCCTCCTCTCCCCTTGGGCCCTGGGACCACGGGATGTCTAGGACCACTGCCTCTTCCCTCCCCAGAGCCCACGCAGGACAGCCAGATGGTCGTCATCATCGTAGTTGTGTCGGTACTGCTGTTCCTGTTTGTGCTGTCCATCCTGCTCTGCTTTGTCTTCAGCCAGCGCTGGCGGCAGAGGCGGACTGGCTCCTACGGGGTGCACGCTTCCTGGGTGAGGCTGCAACGGGCCTTCCGGCCACAGCCTGCGTGAGTGGCATGGCCACCACTCCAGTGGTCACTGGAACTCAGCGTGGCGCCTCGGGGTTGTGGTCTAGCCCTGCCTGAAGGACTATGACAAGCAGCAGAGGACTCTGGGGACATTTCCTTTTCTAGCCTGAACACAACAAACACCTGGACTTAACACTGTGCCCTCAATGTCTCCTCCTGGGGTAACACGCAGTGGGAAGGGGAACCCACTGGGGTGGACTTCTCTTCCCAAATGTCTCCCTTGGCCTCCTTCCAGCCCAGGCACCAGACACCCACCCTCATCCAGCCCTGAGTGACTAATTCCTACCGAGGGAGGGTGGGGGAAACACACCCTGGCCCGGTGGGATGGAGGACACTCCGTTCCCTCCTGGCCTTCCAAGACCTAGGCCACTCCTGGTCAGAGCAGGACACCACTCTGATCTCTCTGCCAACAGAGGTGGCTTCCTGGGGTGAGGGTGGGGCCCCAGGGGACCCGGCTTGGCTCCAGGGCCCTGCCCAGTCAGGCCTCTCCCCCACCACGCTGGGCCCCTCTGTCCACCTCACAGGGACGTTAAAGCTATGGAAGACAGATGCAGTCCCCTCCTCTCCTCTCCTCTCTGCTCCATTACTAGGCCCAAAGGAGACCCTGTCCTCCCAGAGAGAGGGGTGGAGGAAGTGGGGCGGGGGAGTCTGGTCTAGGCAGGAAACAGTAGGGCAGAGTCGGGCCTGCGTAGCTGCCAGGCCCTTGGCGGTGCTCTGAGGAGCTCTAACTCCAGAGCAGAGATTGGGCCGGTTCATGATCTCAGTGGGGTGGAGAGAGGATTCACCCAGCAGAGGGCCTGGTTGGGGTTGAGGGAGCGAGAGGGGCTGCTGGCCGAAGGCGCAGAGGGGCCAACAATAGAGGGGCAGGTTGGGGCTCCGGGGCTGTTTCCAGCCGCTCGACAAGATGGTGTGAGTCCCCAGGCTGGCATCTGTCCTCATGGTAGGCTCTCGGCATCATAGTAATCTGGGGAGACAGCACCCTCAGCTTGACTCCCTCCTGCCTCAGTGGACCCCAAGGAGGAAAAAGGAAGGGGACAGGACAGTTGTTTACAGCAGTGATAGTAGGACCCCCACCGCCCGGCCACAGGGCATATGGCCCTCCTGGCTTCCTGATCCCCGCAAGGCTGGGGCCCCACTGCCCACCCACCCAGCCCTACCTGAAGCTGGGGGTACATCAGCACCCACAGTCCCTGTGGCACTGGGGGGTGGAGGTGGGGGCACAGCTCTCCTGAGAAGGGGGAGAGAACAGAAAGACCCCCATCAGAGGCCCAGGGGTGACTCTGGTATCACCCACAAGAATCTCCAGCCCCTGGACAGCTCTTCCAGCCCAGCCCCCGAGCAGAAACTTGGCAGCACCCAGAGCCCCCAGCCTCACTTACACCTCCCTTTTCCTGGAGGCAGGAGGCTGGTGCTGGATCCTGGGCACATCCTGCAAGTGGGGCTGACATGGGGGAGGCAGGAGGAAGGGGGCTGACCAGGGCAGCAGGGGGCCTGGGGAGGGTACCAGGCAGGGCAGGTAGTGGTGATGAAACACCAAAGGCCCTTCAGTCTCCTCCTCCTCCTCCTCAGACTCCTCCTCAGATGACTCCTGGCAACCCTCCAGGTAGACCTGGGGATTGTGCAAAACAGGGAGGGGAAATGAGGGTACAGGATCAGGCTGGCCCTACACCTACGCCTCCACCCGCCTAAGTGATTTCCTCCAGATGTGCAACACAACAGTGGCCTCTGTTTATTGAGCATTTACTACATGCAAGCAAGGCATTTTGGAGACATTTGTTCCTTACTTTGTAGGTGGGAAAACTGAAGCCCAAAGAGGTTGAGCAACTTATCTGAGGTCACCCAGCTAATAAGTGGCAGAGCAGGGACTGGAAGACTCCAGATGTGCTTCAGAGCTGGGGCCAGGAGTCCACCGAGCTGCCCCTGCCCTCACCCCCAGCCCCTGGGCCCCCCTGTGCCCCATCAGTGAGGTGGGTGCTAACCCCAAGGGCCCCCTGGTGGCCTGGGGCTGAGGGGCGGCAGCAGCTTCTCAGGGTTTCCCTGTGCCTGGACACTTTGAGGCCCTCTCCGCTGCCACCCAGCTGGCCAGCATCCTCTCTCCACCCAGCCCTCGCTTCTCCTGCCCTCTCAGGACGCCCAGCGCTGGCCGAGTGAGGCTCAGCACACACACCAGCACAGGATTTCCTCCACCCTGGCTCCTGACTCTGCCCTGCCAGCCTGGAGGGTGGACACACCTCTTGCCTCCTCCAAGGGTGGAAACCCTCCCTGGCTTTCAAGGGCTGGTTCTAAGGCTCCCTGCTCCTCCAAGGAGCCTTTCCCCACCCCCCAGCCAGGTATGTGCTGCCCTTTGTACCTTTCCACAGCTTGCCGTGTATTTATAACCACTCATGTATTGATTCACTTCTTCAGCAAATATCAACTGAGCCTAAAAAGTGTCAGGCCAGGATCCCAGGCACTTATGATCCACGGGGTCCAATGGTGCCTGCGCTCCTGGGGCCTGAAGTCCAGTGGGGGATGCGCTGCAGGGAAACCTCCTTGAAAGCAAGAGCCAGGTGGTCTAGGTGTGGGGACAACCCGTCCCCCATGGAGGCTGGCATGGGCCTGATACTGCCTGATACCTAATATACACCAAACAGCCCCGGCCAGAGAGGTGCGGCGGCCTTCCTGCTCCTCGGTCACCCAGTCCTTTTCATCGAGGGGGGACCCTAGGTGTTTCCCCACCCCTGGAGCCGCAGGGGAGCGACGACAGTGGCCCCACCCCCACGCACCTGCGGGCCGGGCGGGGCAGGCCAAGGGTTCAGCGCCCCCGCGACCAAGCGGCTCAGCAGCAGCTGGTGCATCTGCGCGTTCTGCAGCATCATCAGCTCCAGCAGATCTGGGGTACGCGGGTTCTGCAAGCCCGTGCAGGGGCTCCCCTCCCCGCTGCCACCCCTGCCCAGTCCCCAGGCCTCTTCCCCGACGCCCCAGCTCCAGGGGCGCGGAATGGCGGGGAGGGAACGCCGAGAGAATGTGTGGGGCAGAGGGGGATGCGGGGGTGGCCCCGAGTCTCACCTTCCTTCACGCGGCCCGGCTGCGCGGGCGGAGGTGGGACGGCCCACGCGAGGGGCTGCAGGACGGTCACCCAGGGCTGGGGCGTGTGGGGGAGACTCAGCCAGGCCAGGCGGGAAGGAGTCGGGGCACGTCGCGAGCCCCGACCTCCTCCCCGAGAGTCACCGCCCTAACCCTGCAGGGCCCGGGCTCTCCCCCGCCCCCACGGCCTCCCCGCTCCGGGTCAAGCCGCCTCCTCTCGCCTAAGGTCTCTCTCCTCCCCGCTGCCACGTCCCCCTCCAGGCTCCCGCCCGCCCGGGGTCCGCTGCCCACTCCGCCGTCCCCCCAGAACCGCTCTGCTCCGCGGCTCAGCCCTCACCGTCGGGGCTGCACTCTGCGGTGCGGAGCGACCCCAGCTCCCGCCCGCCCCAGAGGCCATGGCAGGCGGGTCAAGGTTACCTTGGCGACGCGACCGACGCCGAGTGTTTTTCACACGCATGCGCGAGGCCCGCCCCAAATTGCAGCCCTTCCCTCGCCCCAGCCCACCCCCGTCGCCTCCCGAGGCGCCCTCCCCACCCCCAGGAGGCCGGTCCCCCGCCGGATGTCCACCTCCAACCCCACTGCGCGGGTGCTCCAGCAGGTCACCGGGCCTTATCCCCCTGCCCCTCCCACCCTTGCTCATCCCCAGTTCTGGGCCTGGGGGGGAGAGGGCATGTTTGTCGAATGAATAAGTGAGTGGCTGAGGAGGCTCGTTTCCGAGTCCCAGAGCCCGATTGACTCAGCGGACGAGTTCAGAAGAAATAGAGAATCCTGTAGGAGCGGGCTTGGGGGCAGGGGCTCTGCTCCCTGTCACTCTGTCAGCCAGAGAGAGGGGCGCCTGCGGACAGAATGGTTTCTGGAGCCTACCAAGGAAGGAAGCCCCGGGCAAATTCAACGAAGAGGCCGGGGCTCTGGCCGGAAACACCTGGCCGGGTCCTGGTCTCTCCCCGCGGCGGTTTGCTCCCTGATTCCTGGCCGAGGTGAGCCACTGCTCCTCAGAGGTGGAGGATTGTGATGAGTTCAGCACGCTTGTTCTCAGGACTGTCCCCCATTACTGGAAAAGTTACCAAAGCATGCATTCTTCTGACAGGAAGTTAGCAAGGTCTGTGTGGCTTGAGAACAGGTGAAGGGGGAGATCTGTTTCGGCAGCTGTGACCATCCTAAGATAGGCCCAGAGCAGCAGTCAAGGAAAATCCAGACAGGAAGCTGGGATTAGCACCCCCTGAGCTGCCCTTCCCCCAGCCTCCACTTGGGTTCAGTGCCCCTTCCTGGCAGTCCTGGAGTCTAGAACCAGGAAGACCACTCCCACCTCCTCCTCCTTCCTCGGTCCCTGTCTGTGGGGGAGGGGGCTGGGAGCAGTGCACTTGGCCCCCTGGGTCTCACTGCTTCAATAGCCATCAACAAGGGCCCCAGTGAGTGGAGCACAGAGGCACATCGCTCCATCTCCACCCTCATTCCGGGTAGACAGAAAACCAACCATCGTGCTCGCCATCAACAAACCTTGATCAAGGAAGTGCCTGTGTGTGCAAGGCGCCGTCTGGACCCTGGAGACACAGAGTGGTCTCTGGTCACTGGCTCCAGCATTGTTGGGAAGTGAAAACGTACCCGTGAAAAGAGAGCAGAAATACAAGACTGCCCCAGCGACAATGAAAAAGAGAGGACTTGGCCACTTCATGGGGGCCAAGCATCATGGGAGGGAGGACGCTGTCCAGGCTGGGGACACAGCCCCAGCAAAGGCTCAGATGCGGGAATGGACAGGACCTGAGACAATCCTGTGGGTCAAACTGTCTGGCTGTGGAGGAGGAGCAGGGCAGAGAGCAGAGGTCCCAGCAGCCCAGGCAGGTACAGGTCAGACTCCAGTGCCAAGCTATGGAATTTAGGCGTCACCTTGTAGGTAATGGAGAACTACTGGTGGGTTTCGAGCAGGGGAGAAGTGAGGGGTGATGCGCACAGCCGTGCTTTAGGAAGATCCATCTCGTTCCTCACATCTTTGTTTATGTCAACCAGAATTAGAAATAACAAATGTCTGATGGAGATGTACCCTCCCAGTGGAATACTATTCAGCCATGGACCATTTGGGGACAGAATATATCTATTCACATGGAGAGATGTCCAAGAGAGTTGAGCAGGAAATATCAGTAGGCATAGTTAAGATCTTATTTTTGTTTTACAAATCATATGTATATACAGATATCTAGCTGCAGAGAAGCTGTCGGAGCTGGCCCGTACCCCCAGTCTCCCCCGCCCCGGGTCTTCTGCAGAGGGTTCCTGCACTCACCCTCTGTCCCTCTACCCGAGGACATTTTCTGGATACAGTGAGACAGGCCAGAAGAAGGCCCAGGAGCAGCCCTCAAGCCATAAGGGATGGGAGCTGATAGCTAAGCTCCGAGCTCCCTGGCCTCAGTGAGACAGCTCTGAGGTGTCTTCCGGGGAGCCTCTCAGTGGTGCCGTGGGCTTGCGCCCCGACGTCCCCAGGGAGGCCTGCCCACAAGCGCACACTTTACCAGCTTTTCTGCTTTCCTGGCCCCTTCTCCACTCCCACGCCATGCTTCCTGGGATCTCCTTCCAAAGAAACCCAGCTCCCCCATCCTTGTCTCAGGGTCTGCTTTTGAGGGTATCCCAACCAAGACACCAGCCTCCTGCTGGCTCCACGCCTGCCACCAGGCTGCTGAAAACTCCTGGGAAAAGTGACGTTAGTAGCTCCATGATACCTTTGTGTTCAGGGAAGTGAAATATGGAAATAGACATTGAAGAAAATGAGTGTGGGTGTATCATGGTCAAGGGATTTAGTTGAGGCAAAGCTGGAGGCAGGGAGGCCACCACCCTTGTTCCCCTAAAGAAGGCCGGAGAGCGGGCTGGAGGTGGCCGTGGGAAACAGGCAGGAAGAGGTAATGATTCCAATGCCTCGCATGTAAAGTTGCATGTTAACCACACATGAAGCTTATATTTTGGAAGACAAGGCTGGGGTATAAACTATCTGGCTTCTGGTGTTCGATTCAGGTTCTTTGTCAAAGGAAACTGAAGCACGTTGCTATTTGAAGAAAGGAAAGCTGCCACTTATCTGCCAGATTCACGGAAGAGGCCGGGGCTCTTATGGAAGATCTCACATCAGCCCAGCAGAGCAGGAGGTGACTTTCCGGCTACGTGCCCTGCCTACTATTATTTTCTTTGACACATCAAACACTCCACCTGTTTCCTTTGTATCTTGGGATATTTTTGCTTTTTGGGTTTTCTTTTTGTGTCCCAAGACAATATGTACCGGAAGTCCTCCTCACTACCTTGGTAAGTCTATTTCTGAGAATAGGCTAAGCATGGGAAAAGATTAATACTCAAATGCGTTCATCATACTGTTACTTTTTTAAGAGTTACAAACTGAACGTTCTTGAGGTCAAGAGTTCGAGACCAGCCTGAGCAAGAGCGAGACCCCGTCTCTTCTAAAAATAGAAAAAATTAGCCAGGCGTGGTGGTGCGTGCCTGTAGTTCTAGCTAGAGGCAGGAGGATCGCTTGAGCCCAGGAGTTTGAGGTTGCTGTGAGCTAGGCTGACACCACGGCACTCTAGCTTGGGCAACAGAGCAAGACTCCGTCTCAAAAAACAAAACAAAACTGAACATTACCCAGCATCCAATAACAAAGAATGGTTGAGTAAATTAAGGCAATTCACTCAAAGGAATATTGGACAGTCAATAAAAAACCATGGATCTTTCAAATTCCATGTGCCTAAAAAATGAAAATAAAAACCATGGAACTGGAAAATGAACCACCTCCTCTCTTCCTGAGATGAAAATGGAGGGAAAAGGGCCCTTGCTAGGAATTCCAGTGGAAATTTCAATGCTTATTTTTGGTGCAGGTGAGAAAGTGCCACTCAGAGAGTGACAACCCAACAATGGGCCCGCTTCCTAAAGAGGCCCCGAGTGGAAGGAGCTGGAGTATGAAGGCTGAAGGGAAGGAACTAAGTATTGCTCTGCACAGTCATGTGGCTGACTGGATATGTGAGACAGAAGAAACCTTGAAAATACAATAGTGAAGAAATTCCATTTTTCTGCTTAGAGGCTCTGACTGTACTATTTCCACAAATTACAGTCACGCTTGTGAGATCTGTGGGTGTGGTTTTGTCCAACAGGCACCTGGTGGGACTTTGGGGACGTATAGATAGATCACGCTGGTGGGCTCCCCATGATCCCCGGTTTCAAGGTCCCACTCCACTGGAATTGCACTGTGGGATGGAGTTCCAGAGCCCTCGCCTCCCAGCCCTGTGGAATCAGGGTGCCACCAACCACGAGGGAACCTCCTGCTGAAGCTCCCAAGAAGTCACCCTGACCAAACCACTCAGGGAAGACACTGCCTGGCTCCCCAGGAGGGGCTGGGTGGAGACCGAGGCTGTGTCCACAGAGTCTGGCCAGGGTTGCCAGGGGGCACAGGGGCCATTGGACCCATGCCAGAGCCAAAGGTTACCATTCCCCGGGCCTCCCTGTGCCCCTCTCAAAGGCCACTCTGTCCTGGGCTCAGTTCAGCTCTGTCCTGCGCAGCAGTGGAGCTCTGGGCTGCCAGGGAAGACAGTGGCAGAGATGGGCAGGGGACTGCCAAGGCTGACTGTTTAGGGAGATTGGAGACACTTCGGGGACAGGATTCCCCCCAGGGTCCTCTTGCCACCAGCCGTGAGGCATTTTGCAACAGCTCCACTAGGGGTCACCACAGCCCCAGAGTGGGGGGGGGGTGGGGAGGAGGCTGAGCCAACCCCATCCCTGCCCCACCTCTCCCCTCCCCAAGCTCCAGGGACAGATGCCTAGTCGATGGGGTGGGGATGGAGGGGTTATAAATGCCCCTCGAGACTTCTGTGTGGTCCAGCTAAACAGCTGGGTGTGTGTGTGTGTCTGGGCGTGTGTGACGTGCGGCATGGCTGTAGGGGTACAGACAGGCATACACTTGACACAGTGTAGGGACCATGAAAGGTGGCACTGTGTCCATGTGAACACGAGCATGTGAATGGGCGCAGCCCACTGCGCCGGTATAAGTCACACGCCTGAAAATACACACGTGCGCGAGCACGACTGTGGCTGTGGCGGTGCGTACCCACGGATGCACACTCAATAAAGTCTCGTGTCCGTGATCTGTGGCATTTGTGTCCATCTGGGCACGAGTGTGCATGGGAGTGCGTATACAAGCGCTATCTGTATACATGCGCACGCCTGCGTGAGCGCGGGAGTGGTGAGTGTGAGCTGGCGCGCGTGTGTGAACAGGGCAGCGGCGGTGGGAACGTCTGTGTGGACATGTGAGGGGTGACTCGCGCACAGCGCTGGCGCGTGGGGGCGCGGCATTTGTGGGGGGTGTGCATGAGTGTGTACCAGAGTGACCTTGGTGAGTGTGAGTCCGCGTGTGCCACAGGCGTGCTCCTGGGAGTG